TCCGTCGCGACGTCGCATTTCCTGCAAGAGCGACGTTCGCTTCTCCCGCAATACTTCAAGTGAAAAATTTCAGACCGTTGCATTACTCTGCTTCGCAAGTGAAGCATATACTACACTAGAGCCACCGAGGCAGCTGAGCAGCCAGACGTCCACTTTGGAGCCAGACAAAAAAACGAAAAAAAAATGTCTGCAGCACAACGATAGAGTCCATTCCCAAACATTACACTACAAGTACCATGTTAAGATTCATGTGTTTTCCTGTCGAACTACAAGACGGCTACTTCTTTGTTTTCTCACTCATGTGAAACCATTCATTAGCGTCTATTGTACAGCAAAAACTCAACCAGCTATTTAGTTGGACCTAAAAGCACCAGCCATAGCAACAAAGATGTTGTGACAAGAGCTATATTTTTTATTAGGAAATATCCATTATATCAGTCACTTTTGAAGCACACGCTGAGTAATGAAGGGATATTGCAAGACCATGTGGATATGGTTAGTTTAGAAATAGAATCAAAGGTAAAACAAATAAATAGTATTCCACTGAAATAATGTTAAAATAGAATATTTTCGAGTATCAAAGTGGATGTTTCGTTTAAATTCTGATGTCCGTATTAAAACTGTGCACGTCTTCAATATGTTAGAAAACTCAAGCTTTTGTCATTTAATTATGCACATCGGTGGAATATTGCATGTAGAGTTTTATGATGATACAAAATCAGCACGTAGACGATAAATATATAATTTAAAAAAAAATTAAGCTGAACGGGCTAATGTGATTCCAAAACGTCCATTGGCCATCTGCTAAACCCCATTTAGTTTCAATTTATACCTTATTGACCACACCCTCCAAACGGTTGGATGCAGATATAAAACTGATAAGTAAATGAGGAATTTGACACAAAAACTCAATCTATAATACAACCTAACTATACCTAGTTAAGACTGCTTCGAAACGGGCAAGCTAGCGCTATACCCAAACATCCTGCCTCAAACCCCGAAATTTAAAGAAAAAAAAAAAAAAGACACGACAAAAGACAGACGTAACTTGTCAGGACTTCTCAACTTATCGCATTATTTTTGCATACGAGCCGCGCTTCTATTATAAACATTTTATTGCACGGTAGATTTGTCATTAAAGAATTCACTAAGCCCCTTTTTTTTATGTGAAACGTTTTTTGGCTAGGTGTTCAGTATTTCGTAAAGCTTGATAAGCGTGGCGCGAAGCTCGATGCTGCTTGGTTAACGGGGAAGGTCACGTGACCAGAGGGATGGGCGAGGAGGATCTCGACCACCTGTGCACACTGAGGGAGAGGCGCTCGAGAGTATGGAAGGCTCTGGAACATCGGCCAGGTTTATCAGCCCGATTAGCGGTAGTATATCGCCTCATTCTAGGAACAACCATCAAGTGTACACATGACACGCGTTAAACTATCTGATGAAGAGCGCCGTGAACGCAGCTGTCTGGCGCCTGGAAATTCAGAGTGTATCGCTCAACGTTTGCGACGCAAGAACGTTTCACGTATCCAACACATATGTCTAGCAATTTGCCATACATTTTGTTGTTGTTGCTTTTTTCACAGAGGATTTTAGAGTTGGGTTTCACAATGGCACAAATGCATCACTTGTGATGGGCGCGGAATTGAGCAGTACCTGCACTATCCTGATCCGGAGGAGGCCTTTTCCCCAAGCACGTGGCAGCGCTGAGGCGAGGCGAGATACGCAAAAAAGCGATGTCCAGTCTACTTGTGATGCTTCTCCCCAGTGAACGAGTGCGCGGTGGGAAGCGCACTTCTCTGAACGTCCTAACCGAACAGGTAACAAACAATGAGGAATATCGCGGAACTTTAGAGTCCTGTCAGTATCAGAAACGAAGATCGAATAGAATAGTACGCTATTGAAAGCGATAATTGAACGTTTTGAAAATTATCAAGATTATCATGAAACTCGGGGCCCACTACGACGTCGTCCGGCGTCGTAGTGGGCCCCGAGTTTCAGTATTGAAAAAGTAGCAAAATGTAGCAGGGCACTTTGGCATAGTTTGGTGCAAATGGCGGAGTACCTATTATATGTGCTTCTTAAGAGATCAAGTACGCGCTCGAGAAAAACATTATAAGCAACTGGAAAGCAGAAGGCACAACTCCAAATGTATGTTGCTCTTTCTCTCTCTACGATTTTTACAACCGTCGCAAAGCATTCATTAATGGTCAAATCCATAATGGTGCCAAACTTTAAAATTTTTGTCTCGTTTAAATATAGCATTTTTACATGCTTCACGATGGACTACCTACACACCTGAAGCTACCCTACAAAATGACCTGGCAGTGCCTTTCATTCTGTGTTAGAGATCCGCCAAAAGTAGGTAGCGAATGTTTGCTTAGAAGACATTCAACAGTCCTTCTGGATGGTATAACCCATATATTTGAACAATTTTCCGCTAATTTTAGCGGAGAAAAATTTGTTATTTAGGTCACGTAATGTGAACGTGCCCGATACATTTAGCGGGGAAACGGAATTGGTGTATAAGTCACGTGACGTAAATTTACCCACCAAATGTAGCGGAGAAACTGAATTGGTGTTTAGGGTCACGTAACATCCGTTTCCCCACTAAATTTAGCGAGCAAGCGGAATTGGTGCTTAGGTCACGGGACGCCAGGGGCCCTACGTCGGACGTTCCGCGAGAAAGTCGGCGAGATCGCTGACCGCCGCGATGGGCCAGTGCCGTGTTGCGATTGGCCAGTGCCGTGTTGCGATTGGCCAGTGCCAAGGTCAAGCGCGGCGCTGGCCAATCGCAACGGCCGGGGATCTCGCCGACTTTCTCGCCGTATGTCCGACTTAGAGCCCCAGGTCACATGACGTTGATTTCTCCGCTAAATTTAGCTCCGAAATGCCGGAAGGAACGGACGGACAAGGACTTGGGATTAAGAGGTTCCGTTAAATAGCATTTCATGCTTTAGTAAATAAAGGGAAGTTGACTGGAGAAGACAGTGACAGGAATTCACATCAAACTTCTCTGGCGACCATCATATTTCTACATCTCTATAAAAATATGAATCTCACAGCATCTGCTTTATAAAAATATATATGAATTTAACAACATTCGAGAGCATCTAATGCACGCAGTTATGAAACAAAAATTGTAAAAAGGTCTAATATCTAAACAAACTTGTAAAGTATGTTGCTGGGCTAACTGGTACATCTTTGGTACAAATTAGACAGCTAAAAAAGGACAAGGACAGCCGAGTATGACGGGACAGGCACAAACTTTCAACTACGGTAGCTTTTTTCGGGAAAGAGCAAGCACATATAAATTTTCTATCCATCATGAGTAATGGCATCATGCCGTAAAGTCAAAAAGGGAAAAAAAAAACTTGCAACCGGCGAGCAGTTTAGCTAAACTAAACAAATGTTTGTTCCTGAAATGTTATACCTTTTTTTGGCTTTACGCTATGGCAACATTACACATGCTGCATAGAAAGTTTATACAGGGTGTTTTATTTTAGGGTTTCCAGATTTGTTTTAATAAAAGCTGTAAAAGCTACAGAAATCCTGTCTGTGCGAGGTTTATAACCAGGGGGACATAATAGAGGGGGGAAAACCATCATAAGAAGTCGAATAATTAACTAAAATAGGTTCATCAACATCTTGTAAAAACAAACATTGTTTGAATTAAAGCTTGCTGAGCATCATCGAAGCCCACTGAATCAGTAAATGTTAGCAAGATTTGGAGCGCGTGGGAGGCGTGGTATGGGCTGAAGTTACCATTCGTATAACGGGCACAAGGCAAGAGGTGCGGGAACGCCAATGATAACACCACTGCACGCTTATCATTAGCCTGATACACGAGCGGTAACTTTAGCGTACTAGCGCGCTTTCCATGCGTTCCAAATCTTTCTAAAATTTACTGATGTAGTGGATTCCAATGACGCTCAGCAAGTTTTTGATTGAAACCTTATGTTTATTTTAAAGAATAAATAAAGCTCATTCACAAATTTTACCTCATTATTCAACCTGTCGTGACGCTTTGCCCCTTACACCATGTCCTCCTGGCCATATAGCTCACCTGCACAGACCGCATTAGTGTAGCTTTCACGGCTCTTTTAAAAACAAAAAGAAAACACCCTGTATATAGCGGCCTTTTCCCGGATAAAGCTAGTCAAAAGTTAGTGCCTGTCCTTCTTAACTTGCAATGCTTGTCCTTGTCCCATTTGTGCTATCTTATTTTTACCGGATAAACGAACTTGCCCTAAATGGGGCACGTGAAGGACAGTCGACCTTTGCCAATCGAGAAGGAAACCAACGCCATCTTTTTGTGCCCTCAGTCGCGGTTTGTCCACAGTCCACAGCGCCTGCTGGGCAAAGCTTAAAGAACATCCGTGTTTATTTGGGTGGCTATGTATCAAGCAGTGCTATCTGCCTAGAACCTAAAAAAACGTGTACACACCATACAGTAATGCGCCTATACCAGAAAAAAAAAAAAAAACCCTTGGAGGACGCTTAAGCTTTGTTTTTGAAAGCGGAGCGTAATACCGAAACATATAAAAAAAATTCCCAATCGGTCCCTAACAGTGCAAGCCTGCCTTGCATGGTCCAGACAGTAGCGTGTCTGCCTCGCAACCGAGGGTTTGCGGTTTGAATCCCTCCTAAAACTCTTCAATTTTTGTCTTTAAGTCCAATCAATTACTTCATAGACACGAGACCTTTATTCCGCATTACATGACATGCTTTTTTTTCAATTCCTTTCATTCTACGCGTGACCTCACGTTTTACGTGAGCGTTGTGGGTTGTGTGAAATTCCCGCGCGAGGTCACGCGGCTGTGACGTCATGACCCTATGGATGAATCAGGATTTTCGAGGCTCACCACCGATTTTTTGCGACACAAGCTCCTCAACGCTATCGCGTTAATATGGCATGTTTAAAAACCACATTGAGAGGTGTTCCATTAAACTCGAGGATACCGAAAAATATCCCAAGCTGTGCGTAAAATAACAGTTCGTACCTGGAGTGTAGAGCTCGGGTGCAAACTGCTTGGAAACGCCCCGTGCTACCTCGGCATCATCTTTGGCGTGCAAGGCTGCCACATCTGCCTGCTCAGCCTTGCCTCTCGCAGTTGCTGTCCTATGAAAGGGAGACGGGAGAAGGAAAGAATTGAAAGTCACCATAAAACCTGGCAGGGAATGTTGAACCTAGCATTGCAAGGTAGAATTTGTGATGTGTCTACGTGTTTACTACCTGAACACCGGCCATCTGGAAGACATACAGGGAGATGCTTTGATGGCAAGCACCTTAGTATTGTAAGATATGTGAAAGAGATAATAAGAGTTCCCGAATGTTTGTTATCTAGGAACTAAGGCAACTCATAAGTTGGTAATAATATATTTCTGGCTTTCCAATTTCCTGTATATCACTGGAGAAAAACTGTTGCATCACCTCCGTGTTTTCCAATCTATAAGTCGCACCCCCACCCCCCGATAAACGGCTGTTTAAAAAAAAAAAAACTGGTACGGTATATATAGATGGCATCTATATTCTATCTACGGTCGGTGCGGCGAAATTGCATTGAAAAGTCAGCATATGTATATTACGATCGCAATATATGTGCAAAAAGGGAGCAAGTTTCAATTATCTCGTGTACGAACCGAACGAAAAATATAAACCCCCGTGGCGAATTTCAGTAGTTAAAGTGCACGCTTATAGAAAGGAAAATGTATATGAGTTGTATAAAATGCACGAACAAAATTTTCTAAAAAAGAAAAAACAAAAGAAAACGCGATTTATACATTGGAAAATACGCTACGTCAAACACCGAGCATGAGCTCGGTGTTTGACGTAACGTTTGTCGGTGGTCTCAATGAGAGACCAATGACAACTTTTGAAACTTTTGAAAACTACGCCTGCCTCGGGCTCCTGAGATCACCTAGCTAACCGAATGCTCCTCTGCGTCGCTTCTCCGAGCATGCCCGTGCAAAGCGGTGAAGCTTAACGTGAGCGCGCCGGCGCGAAGCGGTGAAGCCCATCCTACCTTGAGACCCTAATGAAGTTTTGCTTTAAGCTTTAAAAAGAGCTCATGCCACAGGTTTTCAAGATTATCTCCAAATTGTAGGTGGGCGCTTGCTCTGAATTTTACGACCAAAATGCCTTTAGCAGGAAGAGGAATATTAGGTAGGTACTCTCCTGACGAACTGCTGCTTGTGTCACTTCATCTCTATAAAGTGTTGACAGTAGAATAACTCTGCAAATGTAATGATACACAAAACACTTAATCTTCAAAGTCAATTTTTTTCTTGTTTTTTTGTTTGTTCTAGCTTTAGTCACGTTATGCTCCAAATAACAGACACTGTCTCTATCTTCAGAATCAATATTTTGGAAAAGTATTAGAAAAGCTCGAAGCACCAGACCTTTAGCTTTCACAGCATCGAATGCCCCAGAATAGCGCCTTAGCACACAAGCACACATGCACCTTAAGGGGACTTCAAGCCTAAAATGTAAAAATGTCGAAATAAAATTTGAGGATGCAGTTCAGATGCACAATCTTGATTGGGTATATATAGGCCACTGTGGTTACAAATCGAATTCATAAAAATATCACACTACTTTTTTAAAGCGAAACACTCTGAATGTTAATCATATTTATTTCACATTTATTTTTGTTTGTGAAATCACTTCTGATGGCATACTGTACAGACTTCTACAACCCCATGTTTCAGCTGCCCTCTTTCTCCTTCCCTCTTGTCTCTGAAGACTTTAAAAGAACATACTGTTACAGTTATGTCTCACAAAAATGAACCCCGTTCATACGGCTGCCCTGCTATGAAGACAACATTGTTCGGGACAAACTGGTTAGCTACATGCATTTTTGTATCTTTGTTATGAACACCTCACATTACAGACTTAATGTCGAGAGTTGGGCTAGTTGGTATTCCTTGGGGGGTGAAGGGGCTGACACTTACATGTCTGAGTGAGAGTGCTGATTTGGGGGGTCTTCCTGGTGTGTGTGTTTTTATCTTATTTTCTTCCTTTTTCAAGTAATAAAGTTTCAGTTGCGAGTCAGCGCTTGTCCCGTCTGCGTGTTTCTTCTCCTTCGTCCGTGTTTGTTTGCGCTGTTTTTACATCATGATGACATTACAGACGATTTTCCGGAGAACACAGGTGTCCATAGTAACAAGGTATGACTGTCTACATTTTAAAGTGAAATTACAGCCCTTTCTCTAGGAAGTTATAATTTTACTATTAGTTCATTCCTATGCCTTACAGTGATGACTATACTATGAATATGCTTATGCACATAGAAGCTGGATTTCTCCAACTTAGATTAAAAAGTTAACGATGCAGTAAGATTTTCACTAAAATGTTTAATGCCGCATCTAGAAAATTATAAGCTCAGTGGCAATATATTTCTAGTTCCTTGTTGGAAATAAAATTACTGATATAGACAAACCATGCATAGCCATATCCCACTTTATCCAAAAAAGTTACTTTGCCTATTGGGGGTATTCACTGGACGCCATATTTGAGGGCGATGTTTAGAGCGCATGCTCAGAACGAACTCACATGAATAGGCTGCTAAGACCCGCAATCTTGATGGCCCAGAATGCACGTGGCAAAAAAAAACTGTGGAAGCTCTCCGTCAGCTTGCGCTCAGCAGTCGCGCACACAGGTATGGCCACCAGTCAATACTCCCCATACAATGCATACAATAAATTATTCAGTTTTTATGTCAAACACGTAGGAGCATGTTGGTCCCCAATAGAAAGAAAACAGCCTCAGCCTATCGAATATCAAATGAATGGTATCCGACCGTACGTAAACAGACATTTGACTGGCATGCTTTTTATGATAGTCTAACTTCACTTCGTTTGCCTGCTCAATACTCATAATATAGGCAGAAGGCTTTATTTCTAGAAGACTGCGAACAAGAAACCTGCGAGATACCAGAGGGCGCCAAAGCGAAGTATTCGGCTAAACATTACAATACTTTCAGTCATAGCTGCTATAGTTGCAATCCTAGAGAACAGTTTTTGACCAGGCTAACCACGGCTGACGTCAGCTTGTTCAGAACACAAGAGCCAACCTGGAAATGGCGATGTCGGCCTTCTGGAGCGCGATCTGCGAGGCCCGCACGGCAGCTGCCACTGCAGCCTCCACCCTCTCACGGAACTTGGCGGAGCGCAGCAAGAACAGGTGCTTCTTCTTGCCCGAGGTGACGAGCACATTGTTCTTGTACTTGCCCTCCTCACGTGTACCGTCCTTGAAACTGGTGACGCCGTAGCCGTACTTCTTGTTGTTGTACCACTCGCCCTCATACTTGAGCCCATCTGACCGCTCCGCGATGCCGTAGCCAGAGCGCCGGTCATTCTTCCATTCTCCCATGTAAGTCTCCATCACATTTTGGTCTGTTGTGTCCTCCTGCAGTGATGGCCGGTACACAATGTAATGCCTACGGTCTAGGAACTGTGTGGCAGAGCTTGTCAGTCTCAATTAAAGGCAGAAGGCTATGAACAGTATTCATAATATAAACTTTTGTACTGTTTATGCACTTAAAATGTATGCGTGCTTGCATTTTGACAAACCAAGGTACAGGTTCAGAGAGGAAAACTTATTGTGCCTTGCCTCGAGGGTCACAGGATCACCTTTTTAGGGACTTGAAGGATCGTAAAATATTATTTTGTACTTGTGGTTGCCGGCAAACCTTCAAGGGTGTGAAACAGTAATTTCTCACACCTTCCGAAGCCTGGTTAAATAAAAACAAGTTATTAATTATCAACTCTGTTTATCTTCAATGAGAAAACTACATGATTTGCAATGTCGACTTATGGTAGCAATCACTCAAACAATCCTTACACCTCACTCTAAATGTTTATCTGCATTGACTCAGAAAAAAAAACGGCTATAAATGAGTGTACTAATTATTTTTATTATGCAGTTTCAGGCTACCAAAACTATGCTGCATGAAAGAAGCCGTCAGAAGTGCACGAAATATGCGGAAAGATCTTCGGTCTTTATTTTCTTCATTAGTTCCTATCTAATGTATTCTAGATGAAGATCACAAGACAATTTTCTTCAATCGAGACATGATAGCTGATTACAGACAGATATTCTAAGTGAAATTAAAATTATTATGAATGTCCTGAGCAGGACACGGCATGTGTTGGGGGAAGCCGCATATATGGGTCATGGGCCTGAGTTTGTTCCTTCGTACCCTTGTTCCTACATGCCCTAGAACTGCAGGTTATTATTGCAAATAAAGTATATCTCCAAAATATATATAACTGGCCCTACAACATAAACTTTACCATGAGAAAATTTTTCACCAAATATTTTAATAAAAACAAGCCTCGTGAGGCTGCCAGTGTGTTTACTGGCAAAATATAATAGGTATACCAGGTTCTAAAGAACAAAACACAAACTGGCGAGGTTTGCACTGCAGTATTTGGTTTATAATTTTTAAGGTGGGTTTAAACTCGAAAGATAATAAATACGAGTCCTTTCTCAGCATTCGTTCATTTCGACCTGCTTACTCCTCAACAAGGCTGATTTAGTTTTGTCTCCAAAGGTTAAAAAGAGAGTTATGTGAACACCCTTATAGTGTTTTACTATTCCAAAAACAACAGTTACAGTCGCGATGCTAAGCACTGCAGGATACCACACAAGTACAATTCAAAAGCACAAGATAGCTATGACAGTAGTATTTCGGGGGTGGGGCACTCGATCGAGTCCAAATTATGCATAATATGTAGTATAATCTAGCCAATTCTGAAGCTTATGTAAACAAAGGACAGGCGCTCACAGATTCAATATTTTACAGGAAGCAATGTCGTATACAGGCTACAGCCAAGAGCCGATCAGGGGAAAAAATCCAATAGGTAGACATCCTCATCTCCCATTGTGCCAAGTTATTCCAATGTATAGAAAGAAGCAGAGGCACGAAAGTACAAACCTGAGACACAAAGGAGGCATTTGAATCGGTGTGCGCTTCGGTGAGCCCGGACTGGGCAGACTCAGAGCTGGCCGAGCTCATGTTGGAGCCCGACGAACGCAGCGACGAGCCCGAGCTCACGCCCCGCTTATCGATGTCGCCTGTGCTGTGCTGCTTCTTGATACGGAGGCCCTACAGGTGAAAGAAACAAAAATCAAAGGGAAAGTCAGCAACTGCCACATTTCACTTGTTGCAAATTTGAATTTGCAAGGCCAAAGGCAAGTTTCTTTTTATTCAATTACTCAGTGTCCACTATAACATGCGCCCAGTGAAGAATGCAGTTTGTGCAAGCACACTTTTCCATTGGCGCTAGTACAAATGAAAAAAAACACGTTATGATGACAGCTGTAACAAAAATAGTGCAAACATAAATACTTTGAACCTTCGAATGCTGTATGCATTCAATTGAAAATTTCTATAGTGAGTTTTCATAAACTGCCGTAGGGGTGTCCACACCCTACATTTTTCACACCCTTCAAAAAAGTAAATAAAGGTTCCACACATTCGACAACACTGTCTATATGGTTCGGCCAGCATCTCTGTAAATCGAGAACTGTAGTCACAATTGTAAGAGATTTATGGTACATAGTCTGGCTGATTAAATATCACAAAATGGTCACCCCTACTGCCAAATCTGAGCTTCATCTTATATACTTTCTGCTTAAATAATCAAGAGGTCAAATTAACCCTATTGTGGAGTACGGATCCTTATATAGAAACAGATGTTAATCTGCTGTATTCTACCCAAGCCTTTATTTTTAACAGGGGCGATTGATATTTTGAGAAGCATAAGGCTCGAGTCGCTGTCTTTCAAACATAGTGCCAAGTGGTTTAAAATAAGACACAGCATTTTAACAAGAACTTTATTTTTAACAAATGAGCACTAAAATATTTAGTGCGCATTGAGCGCACTAAATATTTTTTTTCCTTTCTCAGATATCTCATGCACCAGACAATTCTATCCTTTAAACATTTTGCCATTTCAGTACCATATTAATTCTTCTGTAAATTATGGCTTCCCAAGCATGCCTGAATTGTGGAACAGTATTGAGAGGCCTACATGTATTATATCTTAAAATGACTTTATTTTAGCTGTTGTCAAGCTTGCTTTTCCTTGATGTATGCTTGTGGTAAATGGTTATCTTCTAAAGTGTTCTTGTTTATTTACCCTTGCTGCAATTTGTTGTGCTGCGCCCCTGCAATAACCCGGTTGCCATATATGTAAATAAATAAATAAATAAAAGCCTATTCACATAAGTTTTATTCATGTGCTTCCAATACACGGTAAGTACCAAGTTTATATTATTCAGACGACATTTCTCTGCTGAGCCAAAATAGTTAAGACAGGATTATTCAAGCAATTTTACCCAAAGCGCCTCCACCTTCCATCTTATCCAAGAACAATACCCATGATTACCATATGCAAACTGCCTACTATACACATTTTTGGTTCCTTAATCTTAACAGAAATTCAACACATTCTTTGCCTTGCTAAAGTTTCGTATTTTGACTGAACTTTACTCATCAGAAGCCATTTTGGCTTCTCATGATGAGTAAATTGTAGATGGTGAAAACCCTGAACGTCGGCAAAGTATCTCCCACCACAAGCGGGCTCAAAACTGGCATTTTATTTGTGCACTGAGTCAAGTGATCTCAATTCAACACCAGCCCACCATCCCTGAGATCCATCACATTCATTTTAAAGACTCGGGAAATCTGCCAACAAAATCTAGGACTGAGTCAAAATTTAGTGCCCAGCATTGATGCACTATTAAATAAATGTACATAGATTGTAATTTGTATAAAAAATGATCTCCAGAATAATTATAGTATTGATGTCAAAAATATTCACAAAAATGCTGATTATTGGTAATCATTGCCCAATGACACACCTTGTTCACATATACAGGGTGCTTGATTTTAATTCTAACACATTTCTTAAATTAAATTTTTAAAAGAGATCTGAACTGCGTACCTGGAGAATGGACTTGTTGAAGTTGGATGATTTCTCGTATTAGACGAGTTTCATTTTCAATAGGTATTTATCAGGCTCGGTGGACATTGCATGAGGAGACGCTCGTCACGGTAAGTTGACTAAGTAACTAAAACCTGTGAATTAACTTTTTAATTAATGGTTTTAGAGCTCATGTTGCAATTGCAGTATTGACGACAATTACTATTAGAGGCCAGACCAGTTAAAATAACTTGTGAAAAGGTAATGGTTTTCTTAAATATGAGTCTATAAACTTTCGCATTTTATCGATCGATTTGAAAATTGCACTCTAAAAGAGCGTCGCAAGCCCTGCCTACAATAACGCTGGAAAGAGTAGCCTAGTCGTTTCGACAATGTCGTCACTATCTCGGCAGCGCGTCCTTTGCGGGTGCGCCGACAACACAAGTGACGACGTGACTTAAACAGCTACTTCACTCTTCCAGGCGTCATTGTGAGCAAGGCTTGCGATGCTCTTTTTGAGCAAAATTTTTCAATTGGACGAAAAAAATTCTAAAACTGAACCATTAATATCTCAAAAACCCTTACCTTTCCGCAAATTCTTTAAATTTCTCTGGCCTCTAATGGTAATTTCCGTCAATACTGCATTTCCGACATGATCTATAAAAACAATATTTAAAAAGTTAATTAACAAATTTTAGTTAATTACCATAAAGTTCCTAAACAACGCCCGCTCCGGAGAGATCGCCCATCCCATTTTTTTTGGGGGGAGGGGGGGGGGGGGGGCTAAATATCAGTAGCATTAAAATTCCGAAACATCGCCCACACCCGATTCCCGTCGGACGTCGCGCGATGTCCGAAGGGAGTTGCATCAACCGCGCAAATGAACTCGCGCCTGACAAGCGAGTTCATAGCGGGTTCCCGCGCTTTTGCCCGCGATGTGCGCGCGCGATATCGGCTCCCGTACCACGCGAGTTGTTCCCGCGTGTATGTCGCACCGTGAAATCCGAATCTGCTGCGTCCGCAATCTGCGGTATCCGTCCCCGTGACAAAGTTTGCAGCGGATTCCCGCATTTTTGTTCGCGATCTGCGCGCACTATCTCAATTTCACGGGAGTTGGTCCCGCGTGTATATTGCACCGTGAAATACGATTCGGCTGAGTTCGCGACCTGCGGTATTTGTACCCGAAACATACACGAGTCTGTAGCGGATTCCTGCGTTTTTGTCCGCGATCTGCGCGCGCGATATCGATTCTCGTGTAAGGCAAGTTTGTAGCGGGTTCCCGCGTGTTTATTGCACCACAAGATTTGCATCTGCTGCATCCGCGATTTGCGGTATCCTTTCCCGTGACACGGGAGTTTGTAGCAAATTCCCACGTGTTTATCGCGTCGTGAAACACGAATTTGCAGTGTCCGCGATTTTCGGTATCAGTTCCCGGGTCACGTGGTTTGTAGCAGGTGCCAGGGTGTTTATCATTAATTTTTTATAAGGTATTGCTGTGGCGTCCCCAAAGATAGCCCACTCCATGTTTTTCACCATTTATCTCTTCATTTTGGGTGGGCGTTCTTTCGGAACTTTACGGTAACCAACTTAACAGGATAATTATCTCCTCATCTCATATCCGCCGAGCCTGGTAAATATATGGTAAAAAGAAAGCTCGTCTAACCCTCACTTCGTTTTTTTTTTAAGTATGTTTGAATTAAAATCGCACACCTTGTTCAGTATCACCAATGATGGGAAAACTGCCAACCACTGGTGTTCCATCTTATTCGTGACCTACCTTGTTAGTGAGATCGGTTCTGGATGCTCGCAAGCTTTTTCTTTTTTTTATTTATTGATACTGTCAGCCCTTCTAGGGCTATTACAGGAGTGGTAATATACTATAAACAACATTTATGCACATGCAATTAAAGAAACGTCAATATATACAAACACATAAGAAAGCATAAATTCATGGCTTATTGTCAAATGCTGTGCTTTTTATATTTTGCACGAAATCACAAACATTTGTTTGTAAAAAGGAAGGCTTCACTAGGAAGTTCGTTCCACTCCCTAATTTCCCTTGGAGAGGAACTAAATTTAAATTGTGTCAAGGCCTGCAACAATGATCCAAACTGCGTACCTGGAGAATGGACTTTTTGAAGTTGGATGATTTCTCGACGAGGGAGCGCCTGCGCTGTGGGGGCTCGTCACTTCGTGCCTTGAGCACGAAACCCCCGCGGCAGTCGTCGATCTTGCGGTCCCTTTCGGAGGCTGGGTCCACGGGGTGGCTGCTACTGTCCAGCGACGTCTGCGAGGTACGCACCTCGGTCTTGCCTCCGGGGCCGGGGTTGCGGTTGTGCGCCGCCAGTCCAAAGGGGGCGCTCGACCGAACACCATAGCCGTGCCGTGTGCCACGCAACCACTGACCCTGGTATGTGCCTGTCAACAGAAAACACAAAGCAATGTTCACGGTCAGATGCTACGGGGAGGCAGAGTGCCCTCAAAGCTTTAAAGTGGCAGATAAGGTTACACTTGGAGCTAACATGGCAAATACAACTTGCAGTCCCATCACTGATGCGTCAGAGGAAAATAAAAAACAAAGATCATGTTAGGAAATCTCGGCTCACAGCTGACCATGTAGCAGTTCCAATAATAACTCGATACGAAAGAATCAAGCAGTGTGAGATACAGACATGCGAACTCCATGTTTTAATTAACGGAAAAATATGATTGCACATAGAGTGAAACCTCGCATTGCAAACTTAAATGATATGAGTTCGATTCCAACTCTATCCTTTTTCAATATAAGCCATCGTGCATCCAGGTAATCAATATAAGTGATGTGCATTAAAGCCCCCGGGTAAGTAGTCATACTGCCCTGACCCAATTTCTCTTTTACACTTTCGTGACTTTGGGACGTAAGCCACAACATTTCACGGCGACTGACTTTCTGCTTTAAAAATAACCATGGCATTCCATTCACTGAGATTGTTTGCACCAAGATGTCTGCTACTTCAGTTTTGAGCATAATGGCCGTGGCGTTGTATTATACAGTGCAACATATTTTCTGCAGTAAAACTGTGGAATACCCTGAAGACTTTTCTGCACCCTTCTTTCAGCTCTAAATCTACCTTTCAAAAGTTAGGTATGCCCCTCTTATTCCACTGCCAAAAAAAAAAAAAAAACACCTTGGCACTGCTCCTGAATAGAAGAGTGCTTCCAAGCCACGAAATGACTGTCACACCGTAAGTGCCAGATTGTTGGAACAGGCCCATTTGGCACGGTAAGCAATGAGCCACTGTTTATTAAAGCGGCATGTTTTGTTTAGTGTTCATTATGGGGACCAGAAATGCTAGTAACAGTTCTTACTCCCAGCCCAATGGCTATAGAAGAAATCTCACCTGCTGATTGCAATTTGCAAAAACTTTGTACCAGAGCGTTCTTTTGAATCATTAATGAGTGATTACCACTCTGTGATGTTTATTATCGATACCTGTGTTAAAACTGTACTGTAATGTATAAATTGTGCGGTTCAATAAGTTGAAGCTAGTATCACAATAACTCAACATACACTTCAGAAAAATGTCCTCGCATTCACTAGGACAAATATCATCAACGAGCTGTTATGCATAAAATAGTTCCATCGCAAGTTTCTTCGTTAGAGGCTACCATCAAATAGAGCTAAAATCATAACCAGCAAAATAACTTTTGGAGCATGAGAGCACATTTAATTTTAATTCGAACCACTACACATATTCAGATTAATATGTCGGCCTGCTTAACGAAAAGGCAATGTCTACTCTTCTCACTTACGTGCAACCCTTTGTAAGCATCAATTGCACAGTAGGAGCGATTCCCTCAAACACAGAGCTAGCAATTAATTGCGTGGAGAAGCACCAGACACGGTAACAAGATGACTGATGAAGGACAACACGAACTGCAGTGAAAGATTATTTTAGGCACTGAATCCCAGTGAAATAATGTTAGCATCCAATAATTTTAAGTGCCTAAATTAATGTTTCCTTGAAGTTCTAGAGGTTGTTAGGTTGTTATAAACTGCAATTAATAATTCAGATAAAAGCAAAGCACTTGTCATTTGATTGTGAACGATCAATGTGCCTTCTTAAAGAAATCCCGCCGAACTCGTTAAGGTTTTCCCAAGCTTCCATCCACTGCTCCTGTTAATTTAGTTCATTCAAACCACCTACTAAAAAGTGATAACGAAATAAAGGAGTTGGCATAAAAAATAAACCTACAAAAAGTTCATATGAACATTCTTGCAATACCGAAGCATCCTTGCTAAATTTGGAATTGGAAAGAGGTATCGCGAGCATATCGCAGTCTATCATACAAGCCGAAATGTATTCAGAAAGTGTCGCGTCTCGCTCGGGAGAAGTGCTTTCTCCTTACCACGCAGGTGCACTGCGGCTAAGCAAGACACGCGAAATGGCGATGCCTACTCCGCAGTTCACAGGGTGCGGTGAGAAGCGCACTGAACGAAACTAGCCTTACAAAGCAGACCAGGAACATGAAAATTATTGCGAAACGTCCGAATACTGTCAGTCTTTGATACGAAATACAATTGAATAGTACGTTATATGAGGCGATAATTAGAAGTTCTGAAAACTCGCATAAGTTTATCGTAAAGATCCGGCTGGTTAGAGAGGCCTGATCTATTATATTTTTCAGTATTATTAAAGTGAAATTAAGTTATGGCGCAATGTTGGCGCAAATTCTCCACGGTTCGCTAAAAGGTAGCAGGATGTGGCAGGGTGATCACGTTGGCGCCGTTTGGCCGAAACGGCGCAGCAATCACATCACCTCTGACCGCGCGTGATTTTCATCACAGGCTTCTCCGCAGCGCAGCTCTACTTAGGGGAAAGTGTGCGTTCCAGGCAAATGACAAAACGGAATACAATGGGTTTGACCTGCAACCAGGGGTGGATACAGGTGTCTCCAGAAAAGGGGGGGGGGGGGGGGGGGTGGAGAGGGCATAAGCGTATCAGATGTTTAAGCCCCCCCCCCTCCCCTTTCCCCGCCCTAAAATTTTTCACATGCGGAATCGGGAAGTGAGTTAGGACATCCGGATTCTCCCTCTGTGCTCGCCACTGCCTGTGACACCATTGCTGGTTGTGATTATCACTCCTAGTGGCATTCGGATTCAGTTTTGAGAAATGAAACTCTTCGACTCGTCATCTGGCAGCAGACTCTTGTTAAGGGCAGGAGGGGGAGGATGATCGCCCTCGATGGAAAGGAGGAAAACGCAAAAAAAAGTGGTTCTGATAAAAAAAAAGAAAAAAAATATATATATATAGTGTTCACTCAATGACCAGAAGAACAAAACCGACTTTTCTTTCGCGAAAAAAAAAAGTTGTCTTTGCGGAAACAAATTTAGAAGCACACTCTCAGCCCGAAGCGATTTGCGCGGATTGCGCCAAGTTGGCATTTCGGTCACCTCCCCCAAAACAACTGCTGAGGCTACGGGTCTAGATTTGCAGACAAATTACCAAATTACGTATAGGGAGGATTGACTCACAGCATTTACCGCAGTGTACCGACGTCATTAGTTTGCAAATATCGCAAACACGGGACATTGCGCAATGTCGCTTAACGTTGCTTTTTTTTCTTTTTGCATCTATAAATGCTATGATTTTCAAACGCTTCCAACATGTTGCCCAATATTTTGTTAATGTTTGATCTAAATATTGTTCTTTCTCGTTAGCGGGGCAAATTTATGAAAAACGCTGAAATGGGGTCATTTTACTAAAGTAACACTATTTTTGAAAATCTCTATAAAAAAAAACTGTCATCTTCGATTTCTTTTAAAATCTTACAATTTACGCTCAATGATATGTACTAACAGAATCTGCATACGACGCATTGCATTATTTTTGTGTGTTTGAAGTTATAAAGCGAGAAAATTTTGCCAAATTGAGGCTACCGCAGTGCCTTGAATGAGGCGTGTACATACCCGTAGTTGAGAAGTTCATTGTTTTTACAGGGCGTAAAAATGAATGGGGGTGGTGAAAAATAAACACATTAACGGCACAAAGACGGACGGTTGCCCTAAAGTCAGAATTTTAGGCGCGTTCTTGTACTAGAGTTGCAGAACATGCGTGTGATTTCAGTGATAAAACCTAAAAAACTACTGATTTGCGTTTGTTTCCGGCTGAATATTGGCAAAAATACCGACTTTCGTACTCCTAAAATTGGTTTGAGGACAATTTTATACTTTAACCAACCAAAAGACTGAAATGAACCGGTCAAAGAAGACCAAAACCAACCAATTAATTAACGTTTATGAGGGTGGCGACAACAAAGCACTATTGTTCAGCGCTTGCCAGGACTCGCCACTCAGTCGGCATGTTGGAATATCGCTCCATGCTGTTTCTTGAAGAACGAAAATACTGACTGCGCGTAAATTCTGAGGGTACAATAAATACCCACACGCGGTTAGTGGTTTTTTTAAATGACATGGGACATATGTGTTTTTTGGGCCATATGCGTTCTAAACTTCATTCCTAGCTATCATTACTTGATCTTTGCAGTTTAAGGATTACTATGAACTTCGACTCGGCCAGTGCGGCTAACATATACACATGCATTGCATTTTAAGCAAAGATCGAGTTCAGGCTTCACGTAAGGAGCTTTCGGGGAGTGTTGTGGTCACTAACATATCTAGATGCCGAATAAATTCGGAATGAAAACGTGAAAATTTAATTCCAATCTCATCTCTTTTTGTTTCTTCGTGGAATAATTTCCCGGTATAAAGAAACTATGTTTTATTCCTCATTAAAAAAAAGTGCTTCGCCATGTCGAGGCACATGAAGTCTTAACGGTTTAAACTGCTCTATCCTCATCACAAATATGTATTAAATTGCCATATAGACTTTGCCAGCAGTACCCGGATAACAAATGCCAACGAATGTGACCTTTGCTAAACAGTGATTTTTTTTTATGATAAGCGAAACATTTGACAGCAGTACAAGTTTGCATATTAATGGGAAAACAAATTTCACGGTTGGCTGTGGCTAAAATTAGTTTTTATATAATTGAACATGCCACATGAATTCAAATGCTGTCTGCATACACTTTCTGGACAACATAATCTCGATTGTCATACCACTTGGTCACTTCTTTCGTGAAGAGCTTCACATACCTCGTCGGGAAAACACAATGACAATATTTTAAACACATTTTCAGTGTCTGTGTGTGTTTTTTTTAGACGGAGCACGCCAGTTTGATTATGGCATAGAGTCGCATTTTCTGCGACTCTTGAACAAATACGCACCTAGGATTCTTACTGTAAAGCCCCCGTCCGTCCTTGTGCCGTCTATTTATTTTTGTCCACCCCCGTGCATTTTTGCGCCCTGTAAAAATGGTGAACTTATCTTTTATGGGGTATCTTCACGGCCCATTCACGGCACTGCGGTAGCCTC